GTGCAGCTTGATTAGATGCAAAAGCCCCTATTCTGATCTACTAGGGTTGAAACCACTCAATACATGTGCTGAAAGTTGAGCAGAAACTGTAAATATGCTCCAAGCTGGCGATTTTGTTGTTTTGTGGTACGCCTGGCTGTGACTTGCTTGGTAATGCACAGAGCTCTGTACTGTAAGCAGGAATTACGGAACATCTGCGGAAAACAGATCCCCAGGCGGAGACAGTGTAAAATGCAATGTCTGCTGACTGTCCTGTTTGTGCTGCACATCATTCCCCTGCGCTCACAGACTTTCCCAGGGTTAATAATTGATCCTAGTGGTACCGTATTATTAGATAGTATAATCTTAATAGCAACTATTATTATTAAGATTGGTTTACCAATCCCACCTGGAATACTGCGTTCAGCTCTGGAGTCCCCAGCACAAGAAGGACATGGAGCTGCTGGAGCGGGTCCAGAGGAGGCCACGAAGATGATCCGAGGGCTGGAGCACCTCTGCTATGGAGACAGGCTGAGAGAGTTGGGGCTGTTCAGCCTGGAGAAGAGAAGGCTCCGGGGTGATCTTATTGCAGCCTCCCAGTACTTAAAGGGGGCCTACAGGAAAGCTGGAGAGGGACTTTGGACAAGGGCATGTAGTGATAGGACAAGGGGCAATGGCTTTAAACTGAAAGAGGGCAGATTTCGATTAGATACAAGGAAGAAATTTTTCACTCAGAGGGTGGTGAGGCACTGGAACAGGTTGCCCAGAGAAGTTGTGGCTGCCCCATCCCTGGAAGTGTTCAAGGCCAGGTTGGACGAGGCTTTGGGCAACCTGGTGTAGTGGAGGATTTCCCTGCCCATGGCAGGGGGGTTGGAACTAGATGATCTTTGAGGTCCCTTCCAACCCAAACCATTCTATGATTCTTAGATTTGCACATTGCAGCTCATGTGCTGCTGTTTTTCATCCAGAAAACATCTGGACTTTGCAAATGCCTCACAACGTATTAATGCCTGTAACACAGCAAGGAGGGCTGCTGCGTGTCAGAAGGGGAGAAGAAGACTTTAAAAGCTTCAGAGGCGAAATGCTTCTTTGATGTGTCCATTGTGCTGCTAGTTTGCAGTGCAGGCAATCTTTTTCAGAACAGCCAGTAACAGATACATGTCAGAAGAAACAACCAGTCTACACGGGGATGGCTATTAGCAATCCTGTTGCTGCCCCTCATCCCCCCTCTAAACGCACCCTCCTCCCCTCCAGCCCCATAGGGAAGGCAGGAGCCACACACCCACAGGGACAGCAGGGTCCCAAGTGAACGTCAGCGACTGTCCATGTTTTCTTCAGTAACTACACGGAGCCAAAGAGCCCAGAAGCGGTTTGATTTCCCGTAACCCACCCATGTTGATGATGGAACCTCCAGAAACACAACTGATGGATGCTCCACATGCTCCCACGAGCAAGAGGAGCCTGGCAAGAGGAGATACCCACGTGTCATTTTGGGGAACTCTTCCCTGAAGAGCATTCTCCCCCATCAGCAGCAAAGCCCCCATACAGATGGCATCCCTGATCTCCGGTGCCTCTTTTGCTTTTTTTTTTTCCAGCAGGATCACAGGTATCTAAGAAGCTGCTTCTTTTTCAGGAAGCTGCAAAGCAAAACTAACAACTATTGAGTTATCTCATGATCTGGAGAAATCTCACCACGTAAAGTGCTACCAGCTGCGCCTGTTCCTAACGTTGAAACAAAAATAAAACCTCACAGCTGCCCTTCGAAGAGATTCAAACCAAAGAAGGAAGGGCTGAAATGCTGTGGTGAGAGTATGAAAAATTATTTTCACCCACCCACACTGCAGCACACTTGGGACTGTTGCAGTGAGCAGGCTTGGGACTGCCTCCAGGTCGGTCGCTCCTCTTCCATTAGCACTGATAAATGCAAAACATTCCCTAAGAGGTTACGGAAGTGTGAACGCTTTCCTGAAACTGAAAGAGCTCCTTTTCTTTTCTTTCCTTTTCCTCTTCCTTTCATTTTAATTCCCATTCCCCGCCCAGCTCGAAGAACATCGCGCTGAGCAGAAAAAGCTCAAGTACCTGCAGAAGAGACAAGCCCAGATCACCAAGGAGAAGGACCAGCTGCAAAGTGAGCACAGCCGAGCCATCCTTGCCCGCAGCAAGCTCGAGAGCCTGTGTCGGGAGCTCCAGAGGCACAACAAAAACCTTAAGGTGAGTGGTGGCCTTATCAAGGTGCCTGGCAGTAGGGGTAAGAAGTTGCTGATGCTTTCCCATCCTGCTCTTGTACCAAGTCAAAGAGACATTTGCATCTAAGGGAGTGGAGCATCTCCCTTACGAGGAAAGGCTGAGGGAGCTGGGTCTCTTTAGCTTGGAGAAGAGGAGACTGAGGGGGGACCTCATTCATGTTTATAAATATGGAAAGGGTGACTGTCGTGAGGATGGAGCCAGGCTCTTCTCTCTGGCATCCAATGATGGGACAAGGGGAAATGGATATAAGCTGGAACATAGGAGGTTCCGCTTAAACACCAGGAAGAACTTTTTCCCAGTAAGGGGAACAGAACACTGGAACAGGCTGCCCAGAGAGGTTGTGGAGTCTCCTTCTCTGGAGATGTTCCAAACCCGCCTGGATGCGTTCTTGTGTGATCTGATCTAGGTGGTCCTGCTCCAGCAGGGGGATTGGACTGGATGATCCTTTGAGGTCCCTTCCAATCCCTGACATTCTGTGATTCTATGTGATCTGCACGTGCAATATATAATTATATATACGCTGTAGTCTTCAAGTCTGTTTACACCAAGACCCCTTTATTCCTTGTTTGGAAATATCTGAGCACTTTTGGACATTGGGTTTGCCCACATTAGCTCGAAGCCCTCCTGGTATTATCAGGGAGCTCAGCACAGAGAAAAACAGTGGTGCTTACAGACCAGGTCCCTGAAAGTGCAGATGCGAATGCGTGTGTGTGGACAGCGTAATAGGAACACCAGTTCTGCTCCAGGGGACTCGCCAGCGGGTGTTTTCATGTAATCTGAGCACTTGGGCATTTTCAAGTGATCTGTGAGGGCTAGTCAATCAGGACATTTGCCTCCAGACATCAAGCCTTAAGACAGGAAGGATGCTGAACACTCTGGAAGTCGTTTGGATTACAAGCATCTGTTCAAAAAGGAAATTTTCGGGAGTGTCGAAAGGCTGGGATCCATACGCCATGTCTGCGTATTGCTTGGTGCACCACGCCATTTAAATGTGAAATTTATAATATGATTATGCTTCTTGAAAAATTTTAGGTTCACAAAGTATATTTCTGTTGTGATCTACCTTTTTTTCTGAGTGCGTTAGTGGTGGTGGTGTTATTATTACACAAAAAGCCTCTGCTTTGATCTATTCAAAATCCTTTATAGGGATATTTCATCCCTGAATGTGTTTAAGAAAAGGGTGGATGAACTACTTAGGGATATGGTTTAATGGGGGATTAGGGACGGTTGGACTGGATGATCTCTAAGGTCTTTTCCAACCTAGAAATCTATGAAATCTATGATATAGGGGATATAGTTATGTATAGAATTACACATATGAATTCTCAGCAGCAAGAATTTCACCTGATATAACCTCTATTAACTGTAATGGGTTTTCATTCATTCCCACCAGCTCAGGACTGGGCCTTCAGGGTCCAGCTCTGACTTTCACTTGTATGTTGGCAAGAATATAGCTGGGAGGGGGCACGGCCGTGTGTACGCCCAAAGCGTGCACTGGCAGAAGGGCAGAAGCAGTTTAACAGATAGTTAGGAAAACTAGAAGCAAACCTCTGTGTGCTCAGCTATAGTGATGCTAAACTGGTTATTGCCAATTAAATTTGTGCCTTTCAAATTTGCACCAGACCTGAGCTATGCCTCCATATTGATCCACGCTGATTTTTCACACCCTCTTGGGCAAAATCTTTCAACAAATACAAGCCAATTTTAAAGTGATTGCAAGTACAATGTGCAGTGCTTTGCATAGGCTTAACAGAGATTTCTAAAACAAACAAATCCTATCAGTGGAACAAATCAGTGGAAACTGGGGTATAGAGAAAAACTAATTATATTTGGAAAATATATCTGGAACAGGTTTTGTTGAATTCCTCACACCATTTCCCAGCTATGATATGCTTATTAATCTCACTACTAGAGAGCATGATTTTTCCTTTCTCTTTGCATATAAATACTTGATTACACATTTCATCTTTACATTTAGGAGAGTCTCTTTCCAACATCTTTCCATTGGACTGTTTTACTTTGGAACTAGGTGCCCTAAACAAACCTATCAATTTCAGACTCAGTTCTGATTTTTATCCTGTACCAACACCAGGTGAGCCAGGAAAGGCACCTGAGCTGAGCTGGTAAGTAGGAAGAAATGTTCAAGTTTTGGCCACATCTTTCTAAGAATTTGGAGACCTTTTAAGAAATCCAAAATACTAGCTTTCCTCTGGTTCCTATGCTTTCAGTGTAAAAATAACAAAGTTAAATAGATGAGAAGACAAAATATACTTGCAGAATGAATGAGGATTAAATTAATAAACAAAGGCAACCAATACCTTTATCCAGTTTTGTCTCTCTAAGAATTTTAACACAATTTTTGGAATATTTGCCTTTAAGCTTTAGCTTAGTGAATCTCCAGAATCTCATCTTCTGTTCATTTAAATGAGTGTGATTTTCTTTCTCTTATGACTATACTGAGAGGGCCCAAAACAGGAGAATCCATCAAATGTTATTTTTAAAATCTCATGTTTACGTCATTTTTATTTTGGTTTTGGCAGGACAGAGAAGCTGATTCATAGTTTTTTAGCACTTGGGATTAGCACTACTGATTATGTTCCAAAGCACGGAAAATAAAAACTGTAGGAGATTGTGTCATTTCAACGGCAAAGGAGAAACCTGGCCTGTCCAGATCATGAACCTACTCTGACTTGCCATGTGGTATATTATATGCACATCACGTCATGTAAATGTCATCTTCACTCATCTGGTGTGTGGAATTCCCATTAGCTGGAGATCGGTGCAGCCAAGTGGTGATGAATATGCAATGTGGAGCCGAGCTGAAAATCCACAGTGCAGAGCAGAGAAGAAAAATTTCTGGTTAGTGTTGGATACTGGCCTCAAAATCTGACCGATTTAAGAGTCCAGCTATTCAGATTATTTCCTTGCAGTTATACTTCACAGCAGAAAACAGATGTTTAATTCTCCTTCCAAGAAAAGCAGAATAAACGTTCTTGAAGTGCGTTCAAGAGTGCATTCCCACTGCAATAGAAAGTGGCTCTGCTAAGGCCAACTGCCCCGTTTCTCTGCATTGTGTTCCTGTTCTGCCAGTTATCTGACAGTTTGGTGGCTACTTAGCGTCTTGTAGTGACATGAACATCTCGGGTCCCTTGTCCTTCCTGCTACCAGGCATTAAGCAGCGACTTTCACACAAAGGCCACAGCAGTCAACAGCTTTGATTACGGGCTCAGCTCCAAACTGGCTCAGGCTGTGGTGCCTGGGAATGAAGAGAACGGTTCAGTGATAACGAGGAGTCCACGTTGATGTCCTCTCTGCTGATATGACTTCAGCAGACCAATAGTCTTCTTGAGTCGCCCCAGAGAGAGACGGGGACCAGAGGCAATCATGCCTTTCTGTTTGCAAATTATCTCACATTCCAGTGATAAATCTCAAACTGCAAAATACCCTTGTCTTAATTTTACAAGGTTTTATTCAAGGTTTATTACATTTTTAGCAATAAAACAGGAGAGCGATAGCAGTATTGAGTAGGACACAAGAATATATCTTTGAGAGGGTAGATGTGGAGCACAAAGATTAAGAAATGGCGGAGGAAAGGGAACAATAGTTTATGGCTGGACTTTTGTCTTCCACAACAGGAAATCTATAAAGAATTTATAATGCTTTACTTTTCTCACTAAAACTGAGCACTTAATTTAAGACTATTAAAAGAATAAGCACAGAGTGAAGCAGCTGACGAGGCCAAGCGTGGTTTGCACATTAGGAACTCACTATGATGATGCTGAGAAGTCACCACCCCAAACACCCTCTGCTCTGCTCCCTACAACCAAGCAAGCCAGGAACTCTGGACTCCATGCAGCTACTTCAGCTTCAACAGCAGTAACACAAAACAGGTCTCCAAGCCTCCAATTCGGGAGAAAACTTAGGGATCTTACTTTATGCAACGGGATCTTGAAATGGGAAGGACTAAGAACCTATTGGAAATAAGTGCATTTTCTCAGGTTACGTGGACAGGTATAAGCAAAGAGTTGAGGCTGTAGCCTTGTGTTAATAAAACCTGGGTGGTCCCAAAGATTTGGGGACCACCTATGCCGCACTATGCCTGCCCAGATGAGGTGGGTGAAGGGGAGCTGGCCCTGCCAGCCCCAGAGCAGAGCTGGCAGGGATGCAGGGCTCTGCTGGTGGCACCATGGGCATCCAGCCCCCTCCCTGGCTCCAGTGCAGGTGCAGCCTCACATCCACCCTTAATCTGGAACTGGGATCTCAAGGATTTAACAAATCACTGCCATTTTATGAGGGACTCTGAGGAGCTCTCTGCGACACACCCCAGCACCCTATCAAGAAAATATCCTCCTCAAACATCTTCTTCTCTGAAGCAGAAGAGGTTACTGTGCCCTGCAACTAAATGCTTGCTGGCTCAGGGCCTTTAACTGTGAATCTTTGTACCATCTCTGTGCTCTGTATAATTATTCTACCTCAGAAGCGAGGATGAGCAGGAGATAAGATCCTCTGAGCAACCCATGCATGGATTTGGTTTGGGTTTTTTTTTTGCATTTGCATGATTGCTACTCTCAGGATGTCTCATTTCACCTTGTAACAGAACTGTTCTGTGTAACACGCACAATCTGCCCATTTTTTGATTTATATTCAGCTGGATTTATTAGTCCAGAGAGCTTTAAATCACAGCAGTGACATGCTATAACACCATTTGGTTCACTGAAACAATAAAGTATTTTTGAGGAAGGATGTTTTGAAGCCACAGAAATAGGACTCCAGACATGCAAGTTTGATTTCTCACTCTGTCTTTGGACTTCTTGAAATGAAAGCACCTGGTCACTCTCCCCCCTGCTCAGGGCTGCACCTATACAATGGAGAACTAAGAGGCATGATTAGTTTTCTAAACAGTATGGTAGAGGTAAAATAGAGTTCTGACTTGACCGAAACTATCTAGGAATTCAAGTTAAATTTGGCAAAGTTTCAAACAAAAATAAAAAGGACAACATTGTTTGTAAACATCCCCTTTCAAAAGAAAATTAAAAGTTTCCTTTTGGCAATGTTAAAGCGGTTGATTTAAAACATCTTCTGAGTAGCATTTTTAACTCCTTTGGAACAGCATTTCTGTTTCAATATTGTACTAAAAGGAGTTAATCAAAAAGTTACTACAAACAGAACACAGCTCAATTTCAGGTCAAGCAAAATGCTTCAGGCTAACACAAAATCATTCTCACCAATTAAAAAAAAAATAAATTGGAGAGTTTTTCTTCCATCTTGCTGCAAATTTTTCATGTGCCTGGTTTCCAATCCAGGTACTGAACCAGGACCCCCCAAGTCATTTGCCTGGCTCTACCTGAAATTCATTCTTCCTCTTAAGAGTGAGAGTTCCTCCGGCCTCACACTTTGTTTTACTCTGTTTGTGAGTACACACACGTGTTCTCGTGTAAAGTGCAGAGCACAGCAAGGCTTCATGGTGATTTCTGTGCACTATGGTATTATTAGCACTAACAGCTCCAAAACTTTCCTCCCATCATCCAAGACACTGTCATCTCTTTCGCTCCCCGGTCAGCAGAAGGACAAACAATCCCCTACCTTGAACAGCAGTCGGCCAAGATCAGGCTCGTGTTGTGCATGCTAAGCAAAAATTGGGTCATTTGGTATTCATCTTACTTTAAGACTTCTCTGTCACATTTATGATATAATTTATGCCTCATTAGAGTCAGTTAAGGCCTTATTCAAGTATATTTATAGAAAATATCCACATGCAGTGTTATCAGAGATTTTTATGTAAACAACTATGCTAGTCAAAACCTTAGCAGAGTGTGCCATGTGCATGCTTGTGGAGTAGGTTCTTAACATGATTCTGGCATGATTTGCAACTGCAGCAGATATGGTCCTAGCCACTGTTCATCAGGATGACATTCCCCAGAAGGGCAGAATGCCCTGGAAGCAAATGAGTAGGGAATAAAAATAGTCCATATTTCTGGATCCAAAGCAATGAATCCAGATTCTTTCTGCATTGTCTTTTATACAAACAAATCCAAACCAGAATTTCAGTAATTGGTAAACAAAAATAAAAACCCTCCATCTTTCTCCAGGCAGAATTCTGATTCTCTGCTTTGGTTCTGTAAGCAACAGCCCACAAGATTTCCTTGATTCCACTAGCTAATGAATTAGCGCAAATGTTAGTGTCAGTTAAAAATTTAGGGAAGGAAAATCGAGGAATTGGGAGGGATTCTACAGAAAGTGATGGATTTCTTTTAAAAACGAAAATCCCAAAGACCATAAATTTGATATGAGGATTCCTAGTTAAAAGGAGGGATTATAAAGGGTGACTTTTTAAAAGAATTTTAAGAATTTTGATAAAAGACCTTTAGCCTGTTTCCGCTAAATATCTTCTTCCCAAGCAAAAGCTGTGCTGCAGTATCACGAATCAAGACAAGTGTGTCCCCTTTTCCAGGCTTGCTTTGATCTGAAACTCTGTTCCACATCCATCTTTATAAATGCAAATTCTTAGTTCCCTAATTTTTTTCAAGGCCACTGTGTAATTTGCTCTGTAAATTTAGAATCATGTCTAATGCTGCAGCAGATGAAAGCAAGAAAACCTCCAAAGAGGAATGCAAACACGTATAATCCTTCAAAGGGAAGCCCTACGCTACTCTGAAACAGTATCTTTCTGGAACCACTTACCGTGCATCTCACTTACACGACTGCATTCTCTCCCGTGTAACAACAGGAGGAAACAATTCAGCGGGCACGGGAGGAAGACGAGAAGAGGAAAGAAATAACTAATCATTTCCAGGGCACGCTGAGTGAAATCCAGGCTCAGATCGAGCAGCAAAGCGAGAGGAACATGAAGCTCTGCCAGGAGAACACAGAGCTGGCAGAGAAGCTGAAAAGCATCATCGACCAGTACGAGCTGCGGGAAGAGGTGAGAGCAACGCCCCGGCTGCCGGCGGGGACAGGCAGCAAACCTGGCTTCCCCAGGGAAGGCAGAGAGCATGGCCACCTGCTGGCAATCATTCGGGTGTCTCGTGGGGGTAATGAGGACAGCCCCCACCACGCTTTGCTGTCTGGGTGGGACTATGTGCGCAGCACCCTGCCTGCAGCACCCATGGCTGCCTGGCCACCGCGGGGAGAGGGGACGAGGTGCCCAAGCAGCAAGGTGTGCCAGCTGCCTGCGAAGCTGCCCCCCCTACCCCCTCACAGCTCCCCCAGATCCCCAGGGAACCCCCAGCATCCCTCTCCTGCTTCCCTCTCCAAGTCCCCACTAAGCACCTCTCTGCTCCCATCTTTTTGGACAGCCTGCTCTGCTCGTGACACCAAATATACTTTAGTTCCCTCCAGACACAGGTTGCCGAGAAGGGCTGTGACAGAAATGCTTTGACCCTTCCCCAGAAGCAGAAAATTAAGACGACAGGAAAAGGAGGCCCTTTGCATTGGAATCGATTCTTCTTTGCAGGCACAGTGCTCACCATAAGATCTAGCAGATAATAGATGGGAAATTATTCTTTCTGTAAACATTAGAGCTGGTCAGAAAACTTTGACACCAAAAAAAACCCTCCAGTAAAATCCCAAACTACCCTTTTTTTTAAATTTTATTTCACAAGCTAACAAATATCACAGTGGGTCTTTTTATCTTTTCTATGAGCCTCAGTGCTACCAGGAACCATTATCATACTGAATAAAACATAAGTAATCTGTCCTTACAATCTGGAATGCCTGATGCAATACATGCATTTCCAAATCTGTTGCATCATGCATGAAGTCTTATGCTGAATGAAGGAAATGCACGTTCCTCTCTTGTGGTCTCTATGAGAAGAGAATGTAAAGCCAAGGGATGGGCTCAGAGTGTTTTTTCTAAATGAAGCAAGAGTGAAGAGGGCTATCAGTAACATTTACCTCCTGAAGGTCACTGTGGAGCCAGACATTTTGCAAGCCAGAGGAGGCTTCTGGTTCATCTGGTCTGACCTTCTCCACAGCCCCACTCATGTACTTTCACCCGGGCTCTCCAAGCCCATACTACACATGTGAGGCCAGTGCAAAGGGGATGTAGGGGGCTTGTATTTACCCAGAGGACGGTATGAGCTGTGCACATGTTCCCAAGGACTGCAGGTGCAATGTACCTTTACATATTTATCCACACAGTGGTTTGGATCCCCTGGCCACTTAACAGCTCCAAAAAAGTGTCCTCCCTGCGCATTCCTTATTGCTGAGCAATTATTTCCTCTTCAGTTTATATCGGATTATACTGATGACCTCGTATGTAGACCATAGATCTGGCAAAGATGATAAGGCACTTTTTAAAAATTCTTATTTTGCTCTAGTAAATCGAAATAGATAATGTAAACAAGTTTCCCTTTCCATGCAAATTCTGGCCTGACTTGTTCTTATTGGCACTGCAGTATTTTAGTAATTGCAACAGGTTGGGAGTCTTCCTGTTTTGCAATGTTTTTGTCTTATGAGTGTTTCTGTAGATAGCTGCACATGCATGAGCATGAAGGTCTGTGTGTATAATCAAACCTGCACGCTCAGCAGAATTTGTTTTCTTACAGCACCTTGATAAAATATTTAAGCACAGAGAACTTCAACAGAAACTGGTGGATGCCAAGTTGGAGCAGTCTCAGGAAATGATGAAGGAAGCCGAGGAGCGACATCAGAAAGAAAAGGAATACGTACCTATCCTTCTAATCTGTCTTTTATCTAACTTCAGGGCAAAAGGAGTCCTGTGTGCTATTTCACTAATACATTGGTTCTTCAGGTCTGAGCTGGGATATGGGAGCAGAGATGTTTCTATGGCTACTGTCAATGCTCAATGTAAAGGAACAGCCCCTGAAAGGCTGCTTGCATTGGCACGTACAGCTTTTGAGGCAAACTGCAGAGAGGTAGGTTAGAGCACAGGCTGGTCCAGATAACCCACCATCACTACACAGGTGATTCATCGTGGTGTTGGGTCAGGTGGTGCCATTAGTTTTCAAATGGCTCTGATATCTGATAACTCCCTCTCCCCTCGTGGTACATGAGCACTCTTAAACAATCAGAGAGGAGAAAAAGACATTAAATGACATTAAAGTGAGATGGCTGAAGGCCACCACCCCCTCCAGGCTGGAAGCCTCCCTAAATGTCCTCCTGGGGGTCCAGTTTTCCAGCGGATGAGGCCATAGGAGCTGCTTGCTGTGACGGAGCATCTCCTTCTCTTTTGCAGAGGTTCCTCTCCCCACATTGGTCTGCCAGTGCCTCTTTCGGGCAAGAAAGGTCTGGGGTGGTTTAGCAGCCTCCTCTGCCACTCCCTACCTGGCAGAGGGGACACCTCTAGCAGGGGGACAGCAAAAAGCAGGAGGGATGGAGGGATGTCCCCCACAGGCACAGCTGGGATGGGAGGAGGGCAGTCCTCCCTGCTCTCACACATTTCACAACTCAATCAGACCAAAATTAACTTTCTCAGGCTGCCTGGTATTTTCACAGCAATCCAAAATCTACAAAGGATAGCAGTCCCTCTTCTCAGTGGTGGCAGCAGCTGAGACTACTCGAGGGAAGCGACAGGATCTCCTTGGCTGGAAGAAACCTTTAGTTTCCAGCAGTCTGCAGCTAACTCAGGAGCAGCACAAGAGGGCCCTAAAGACGGGATATTTATCCCCTCCTCATGTCTGGAAACAGATACATTAGCACAAGCACGGCCAAAATATCATAAAATATGGATGAAAATGCAGGGCTCTAAGCAAGGGAAACACAGCAAACACTTCTTACCAAGAATTGCCCAAAAGAGCATTTATCCTCTTCCTCCGCACCCGTCTTGCGGCTGGGACACCCACTCCTGCTCAGCTTTACTCCCAGCCAAAGACTGAGGAGGAAGAGGAACCAGGGCTTCTCCATGTGCACATCTGCATGTCACTGCATGACGGTTTGTGGTCCAGCTGAGTTATTCCCTTTCGTTGTGAGGCCTGTGTAAAACCCAAACCCAAAATTTCATTCATGACAGTTGATTTTTTGGTAGATTCAAATCCCAGGAAACTTTTCCAAGAAATCCCTTGCAATGACAAAGCAAATTTTGGGCTTACTTTACTGCAGTCACTGCAGGTTTTGCTACTGAGTACCAGATTTCGGATACTGGGGGCGGGGTGGGGAGAAGAAAAAGATATGAAAGACAGAGCACTGGCTCTGCAGAAAACTGACATATGCTGCCTTACATCAATGACCTTTCTTGCTGTGCCTCACGGAACGTGAGTTTTGGGGCTGCCTGTTGCCTGTGACTGGCCCTGTTTCTAGCCAAACCTTCTTTGTCTATTTTTTCCAGAATTGATATGCACAGTTTCGTTATTTTAATTTCTTTTAAATGGGTGAAAGCCATCACCATCTACACTCGGGAGTGGGAGGTTTTCTTTATGGCTTTGCTACACGTATGACTAGCACCTACGAAATAACGGGTTTGAAAACAAGTTACAAAGCCTGTAAGTAGTGGGTGTATAATGATATGCACCGTGTGCAAAGAACATTTTTCACGCTGTCCAAGCTAATGCTTAAAACCCCTGCCTTTGAGGTGGGCCGGTGATGTATTGCTAACATCCCCCCAGAGCAAGGTAGATTTAGCTGAAGAATTTAAGCGAGCGGCTAAAAGCCATGCGATGAGTCAAGGCATGATCAGCGTGTCGTGATCCATCACAGGTAGCCCAGCACCCGGAGCGCTGGCCTACACTTGTCTCCCACCTCAATCATATTGCTGAGCACTTAGTCCCACCCACCCAGCTATCGTGTTAGTGTCTGTGGGAGTCGTAGGTATATATGTATGTAGGAAGTCAAGGTGGTTTTGGTGGAGTCCTCTCCAACTGCATCTCTCTCCAGGTCAGTAAAGTGCAAAGTCAGAGCCTTATTGCATTCCAGCATCCTGTCATTTGAGAGATTTCAGAACTATGTGCTAATTCTCTCCCTCCCTGTGCATGACTTTTGCTGCAGGATTTTGAAAATGTCTTTAAATTATTTTTTTTATATATATATATTCTTCTAGCTATTTGATTACTCCTTGAAGGCTCACTTTGATGTCTTCCTACGCAGTTCTTCCATGTAGGAAGAACTTGCCCCTATACAAAACTTCTTTACCTCAGACAAGGAGAGATGTCCCCTCCTGCAGCCTCTGTACATCACGTCTCAATAGGCAGGTCATCTCATTGCTCGCACAATTCACGCTACGCGTGCAACTGAGAATGTGATTCCCTAGATAAGGAGCAATGGTTCATACCCTGTGGCCTTCTCAAAGGGCCAACATGACCCAAGGATGCAATTTTAGTATCATCCCACAACTGGTCAGTGCTACTTGGACTTCCTCCCCATACCGTACATTTTTAGCACTTGTAACACAAACTTTGATGTGCAATTAATTGCTGTTTAAAGCCTCTGTGGCTTTCAAGTATATGACTGGAAGGTATCGATCAGATTTCTACATAATTGGAATTTGCAGAGTCTGGCAGCACGAAGTGAAGCTTAATTTTCATTAAGCCAGTCCCTAGATCCATGTCATTAAATGGGAATGTATGTTCTTGGGCACTGGCTTTTTTAGTCTTGAGCATGATGTGACTGTCTGGGCCTCCAGCAGCTATCACAGCTCTAATAATATACTATAACATCACCACACTTCACTGAAGTGCTGCTTTGTAAACACCACATGCAATATTTATTCATTTCTTTATACTTCAGCCTCCTTGTTACCACTTCATAGCCTATTAATAAATGTATCAGTTCTCCTGATTCGTTTTCTCCCAGCTTGGTGTTTGCAGATGACCGCAGGCTGCATAAAAGCATGTGCTAATTTGAGCAAGTTTCTCTGTGGCTTGCTTCCATTACAGAAGAATTTATTAACTCTTGGATTTTTACTGGCTGCAGAAGCTATATGTGGATCAGGAGGAGAGAAGAAGGATTTCATTAACAGGCAACAGGAGGAACTTTTCTTTGCCTTCTCTGTCCATCTCTTGTGCTGTGGCAGAAGACACGGCACAGGAGGTGGGACCTTTTCATTATCCCAGGCACACTGGGTATGAAGATAACCCTAGCTGAGAGTTAAGCACTACAAATAAAAGCCCAGTTCTTGGAAGTAATGACTGGCCTAGAGACTGGGTAGCTCTGAAAGTTTTCAAAGCACTTTTCATAAAATCATTCAAATGAGACACCCTATAATTCCTAAAAAAAAAAACCTCCACCCCAAACCCAAACAAGTAGACAGCGAAGAAATATGAAACTTAAAAATCAGATTTCACCCGAACTTAAAAAAAAAAATTCATTATTTTTGTGTGTAAAACTTACCCTCTCCCAAGAAAAATGGGAGATGTAAGAAAGACATTTTTCACTCTGAGAGTGGTGAGGCAGTGGAACAGGTTGCCCAGAGATGTTGTGGATGCCCCATCCCTGGCAGTGTTCAAGGCCAGGTTGGATGAGGCTTTGGGCAACGTGGTGTAGTGGAGGGTGTCCCTGCCCATGGCAGGGGGGTTGGAACTAGATGATCTTTAAGGTCCCTTCCAACCCCAACCATTCTATGATTCTATGATTCTATAAAAATGCATGAACTGAGGCTTGTTTAACCCAGGCCTACTCGTACCATCTCTTTTTACTGGCTGTGACACAATCTGTTCGAAATTTCAGTCAACAAGATCTAAACTCAAGAATTTGACTTATCTCCATTGAACTAAACACCAAATTAAATTCTCAGAATAAATACTAAGAGGCAGGTATAAATAAACCAGAATGTGGTATTTCTTCATACAACATGTACTTGAGCTGTAAAACATTATTGTCTAGGAAACTGCAGACGGTAAAAATTCAGTGGATCCAAATCAAAAGGCCAAATCGAAGGAGGAAATGTTTTTCTAGAGTTTTCATATGTGTGTGTATATATGTATATATATTTGCAGGCAACAAGTCTAATTCAGGTAGTCTCTGTGCCACAAATAGCTGGAGACAGGGAGGGAATTCATTGTGCTGTGCAGTCAGCATTTGTAGAGTACATCCTCACCTCTTTTGCCAGGTGATATTCAAGTAGTTTACATGTGTTATTTCCAACAAAAAGGTTAGAATAAAAGTTTTTACTAGGGGTCAGATACATTTTCTGCATGTGGTTCTATTCACTTTTCACTTCCAATGTGATCTATTCACTTACCCAGTACTTTTATTTTCAATATATTTTCAGAGCCCAGCTGTGCTGTTTTAAACAGTACAAATTAATTCAACGGAAGAAAAATGGTGGTAAACTAACTTGTTTATATCTCATTTCTCAAGCTATCATTAGCATTCCTTTTCTAAAATACATTTGGCCTAACCAGTAAAACACTTTATAAGTGTTTAGTGGGCGATAGGCATGTTTCTTTAACGCTTCAGTAAACGTCTCCTGCTTTCAGATTAAACCAATTGCTAGAATATTACTAGGCACTTTGGAAGTGCTGACTCAGAACCACAGCCTGGAAAAGTCTCTGTACACCTCATTCCTACAATTCATCCAGCCTCCACCGACCCTCCCATCTGCAGCCTGCACATCAGAATGTCATTTTGCCAAATACCTCGAAGTAGGGAATCACATCTCCCCAGGAGCAGCTGAGGATGAAACTGCAGTCAAGCTCTTCCTGGGCTGCCTCCTTGATCTAAGAGAGGCATTTATCACCCAGAGCTGGGATCCTCCAATGACGGCGTGTCAGTGTAAACAGAGCCCTAAGAAAATAGGCACCGGTGAATGTATGACATTGACTGTGCATTCCCTTTCTGACAGCTCGCAGATTTTTTGAGGCATGGCTGGCTGTGATCATGCCCATGTCGTGATCATTAATGCAAAAGGAAGTTTGCCGTTCACCAGAGAGCAGGAATTTGGCTGGAGTCATGATGAAAGTGCCAGAAATTATCATAACCACTCTCTAGGACTCCGGTGAAGACGCGGATAAATATCACACTTTTTAGAGCCCACTGTACTGCACACATCATTCCAAGTAGGTTTTGAACTCCTATTCTAATACACCTTTTCAAACCAAATGCCCTGTCCCACATCTCAGGATAGCACTGAATACTCTGTGTTGCCCAACTCCTCTAACAACATTCATCTGAAAGTCAGATCATTCCTTAAAGAGGTAGAAGTGGCAGAAGCATAGGGAGCTGGAGGATGAGGATGTCCAACTGACAAACCAAGGACCTAACACTTTTCTCTTTGTTGCCCAAAACACAGCTCCTGAACCAAGCTGCAGAATGGAAGCTCCAGGCCAAAATGTTAAAGGAGCAAGAGACTGTCCTGCAGGCACAGGTGACGTAGGAGAGGTGATTGCATGGTGTGCCTTTGTTTCCCAGTTTTTAACCCATGAGGCACGTTCCAGGTAAAGTATCCAAACTACTTTCTGTGTATTCCTTCTAGCCTCATTCTACATCCCATAGACTATTGCAAAGGAAACAGGTTATTTTCAAGCCAACTGTAAGGTAATGCCCATACTGCAAATCATACTGTGGCATGTGGGTTGTTTAGTCTCAAGAAGAGAAGGCTCTGGGGAGACATTATTGCAGCTTTTCAATATTTAAAGGGGGCTTATAATAAAAAAGGAGAGAGACTTTTTGCCAGGGTCTGTAATGATAGAACAAGGGGTAACAGTTTTAAACTGAAAAAAGAGTAGATTTAGATTAGCTATAAGGAAGAAATTCTTCACTCTGAGGGTGGTGAGACACTGGAAGAGGTTGCCTAGGGAAGCTGTGGATGCCCCATCCCTGGAAGTGTTCAAGGGCAAGTTGGATGAGGCTTTGAGGAACTTGATGTAGGGGAAGATATCCCTGCTCAAGGCAGAGGGGTTGGACTAGATGATCTTTAAAGGTCTGTTCTGACCCAAACTATTCCATGGTGCTGTCATTTATGAGTGTTTACAATACCCAGCCACACACCAATGAGGGTGCCTTGGCTTGATTATTCATCATAACTACCCTTCAAGCAGGTTTCTAATCCAGCAAAGCACTGGAGTACATATCTATCATGAAACATGTTTACCAAACTGGAGCTGATGAGCTCATGTGCTTTTCTGGGCTGGGGTGCAAAGGCAGTGTTTTCATTAACACTAGCAGGAATTCTGCTTACTAAAGGCTTATACAAAGAGGCCTCTAGGATTTCAGTATTTATTAGGAATTTGAAACATTCAATAAAATAAAATTACTTGCCAAAATTACGCTATGAGTCAGGCTGGAGTGAAAGGCAGTAAAACCAAGAAACAGGCAGTATATGCTACACTTTGAGAGCAATGCAATAATGAATATAAGTGAGAACATACACTGGACTTTCACATCAAAAAGAGACAGCATCAGTAGATTTTCCTAGACTTACAGAAACAGTCATGTAGATTTATCTTCTTTGACCTGCCTGTGAGAAAAACACCCCCCAGGAGAGCTGAGGAGGGGAGAGGGGTTAGTCCTTCAGCCCCTCTGCGCTGCCCATCTCCTCACCCATCAGGAAGCCCCCTCCTAGCCCTTGTTCACAATTAATCATACTGGTAAGTTCATAGAATCATAGAATGGTTAGGGCTGGAAGGGACCTTCAAAGGTCATCTAGTCCAACCCCCCTGCAAGGAACAGGGATATCTCCAACTAGATCAGGTTGCTCAGGGCCTCGTCCAACCTGGCCTTGAACGTCTCCAAGGACGGAGCATCCACCACCTCTCTGGGCAACCTGTTCCAGTATTCTACAACTCTCAAGTTGTAGAGCGCTGTTGTTCCAGTGTTCTACAACTCTCAAGTTGTTCCAGCTCTGCCTTTGTAGATGGTCTAATTCCTACCTGTTGAGCCGTCAAGAAAGGCTAGCCTTGAACTGATAACCTGGAAACATGCTAAGAGGTGTTTGGTCCTTTATGTGTTCTTTCAAAGGCTAAGATAAGCCCGTAGCCCATGGAGGAATATCATGTCAACTGCTGCTTACACCAGTTTGAGAGGTTCTGCAATCAATCCTCAAAGGCCTCTAGCTGAGTCCATCCCAACTGCAAACCTGCTCTCAATTTTTTCAGAGTGTTTTTAATTAAACTTTTATGTTCAACCAGAAGGTTTTGTATGCAGGTAGACCTCTGCAGCCAGTTTAATGAAACTGAAGGTATTGATAAGAGCTAGAAAATATTAAGCATACATTTGAAACGGTATAATTGTTTTTAGAAAAATCCAGTCAAACAAGTCCGCAAAGGCATTGATAATACACATGGCCCTTGCAGACTTGCATAGACTAAAAGTAAGTGATTCACTTGCTGAAATGGAAAATGCAGTTAGGTGTTCTGCTTGAGTGTGAGAGCTCTGTCACTTACACGGCAGCCTCCATTTAGAGTTACCAGGAATAATAACATTATTATTATTATTATTATTATTATTCTGCACTGTGCAAGCACAGAACAGAAAGAGCATAAAGAGCTCCTTGATGTGAACAGCACAAAACACCACAGAGATATTAACAGAGGAACACGTGCATGGAAATTATGAGAAGACATTGGTCAACGAGATAAGGAGAAGCCATAATACAGCCCTCACTGCCTGCAATAGTGAATGAGCTACTACTGCATTTTGGAGGAGCTGGTGAACACCCAATGCGTCCATGAGCTGGAAGGAACCAGGGGACATCAGCTTCATGCCAGCCTGTCTCCAGGCAGCACAGCGTGCCTGAGACCAGCCGAACCCAGCCCTCCAAGTGGTGACAGGGATCTGGCACCAGCTCAGGGAATACACCCAAACCGCAGTCGTGCTTGCCAGGACGCTGCATGCCCTCCCCAGGCACGTTGCTGAGGTGGACTGTTTCAGCTTCATGCTTTGAAACAAAGAGAGAAGATAAAAGTCAGCCAAGACCTTTAACTTTCACTAGCCGGCATAGTGCAACCACTGGGCTATGGCAACCAAGAAGAAAGTGACAGGGCCAAAGGGGCATCCTCGCTGTAGCACCCTCACAGCATGGCGATGCCGAGGTGTCCTCACATCCCGAAGCCTTGCATGTACAAGTTCTCGCCCGGCAGCAGCGCTGCCTCCGCTCCCCCTGCCCGCGCTGGCAGGGAGGGGGCAGTGGCAAGGTGGTCCTCGTCTCCCTTGCCCAGAAGCATGAGCACACGTTCCTAGCGAGAGACAGCGAGAGACAGCTCTCACAGCCTGTTCCCAGCCATTATGAAAACATTCATTTATTATGCAAATTTAAATTGCAGAAGCTATTCTTGGTGCTATGGCACTGCCTAGGGCCCCAGCTGAGATCAGAGCTTGCCCTGTTCAAACCTGAATGGTTTTTAATCTAATTAAATAACAGGCAAAAGTTGGGAAGGAAGACCAGAGACACAGAATCGAGGTGAGGTTTTTCATAGAATCATAAAATCATAGATTTCATAGATTTCATAGATTTC